AGTGATCCAGCAAAATATAAAGAAATCACACCATCACGAATATTTTTTTTCTCGAAAATTCTCACCAAAATGTTTTTGTACGCTTGTAAACAATATAATGAGGTGTCACTTGAATAATTTTAACAGCTGTCGAACGAGTGGCTTAGAAACAGCGTTCGAAAATAAACAGTACACAAACATAGTGTACTGTACCGGTACACTACCACTAAAAATCAATCCCACGGCAGCGGGTTCTACGATACCGGATTGACCCGAAACAACAAGATTCCAGTATCGGCCAGCGGCTGCCAACCCAGTATGTACATGTTTGTGTTTGTTTATTTTTCTGCATTGGGAGCAGCATATCCCGGAATGCTTGCTCCGGATTTTATTGGTCCGTGCCGGGATTGAGGAAAACCCCGGGTGGGTGCACTTCAAGAACTGTTCCGGATTAAGGCGTTTGCGAGACTACAGCGAAAGGGATTATGTTGCGACTTGCTGCAGTAACGTAGTCCCCAGCGAGTCCTCTTCTTCGTCGTCCTCGTCAGAGACGTCGTCGGAGTATGGGACTCCACCGCAGTCTCCAGAACAGCAACCAACACCGCAGCACCTAACGCCACATGTTGCTGTTCCAACTCCGGATTGTGCATCATTCTTGCAATTCAATTGCAACGGACTTCGAGGCAAAATAGATGAGATAGTGGATTTTATGAGTCAGAGGAATATTAAGACCGCAGCGGTGCAGGAAACCAAGCTGAATGAAAATTGCAGCCTACAACGTTGTTATGGTTACAACGTACTAAGGAAGGATCGCACCAGAAGTGAAGGTGGGGGATTAGCGTTCCTGTTACACCATTCTGTTCAGTACAGACCTATCTCGCTTGAGCTAGTCTCTAGTGACCCATACATGGAATGTATGGGGGTAGCAGTCAAGTGTGGAACTGCCGAGGTAGAGGTGCTTAATGTGTATATCCCGCCGATTAATAGCTGTGAACCGCGTTATTTGCCTGATATTAGCCCATTATTGGTAGGCAATAACCGCCTGGTACTAGGGGATTTTAATGCCCACCATGAGTTGTGGCATTCCGTCCTAGGTAATGACCAGAGGGGATCAGCGCTGGCAGAGCAGATTGACTGCTCCACATTCTGCACGGCTAACGAGGATGCCCCACTCGAATAAGAGGAGAGTGTCACAGTTCGCCAGACTTAACCATAGTGTCACCCGGTCTGATAAATGACGTGACTTGGCAACCCGTCATTTCTCTTAGCTCAGATCATCTCCCGATAATCGTCTCCATAAGCAGGTCGCCCGATTTCATAACCTCTGAACGCCGCACTTTCCTTAACTATGGGAAAGCTCACTGGCCAGAGTTCAGAGAATTCACCAACCGCCGCTTCAGAGAACTGCCCAACCCTTCTGATGTTCGGGTAGCAGAAAGGATTTTCCGAAACATCATCAGAGCTGCAGCCGCTCGCTATATACCTGCTGGTCGAATACCCGAGATAAGACCAAACTTCCCAGCAGAGGCAGCGGGATTAGCAAACGAGCGTGATGATCTCCGTCGTACCAACCCTACTGATCCTAGAATCAGTGATTTGACAGTGGAAGTCAATCGGTTGGTACAGGAGCATAAGGGGAAAAAGTGGCTAGACCATCTGAAGTGCTGCAACATTGGAACAGATATGAGTAAGCTGTGGGTAACGGTTAAGTCGCTCTCGAACCCTGGAAAAAAGGATGATAGGGGTAACGGTGACTGATCCGAAGAGGTGCGCGGAATATTTTAACCGACAATTTGTCGAGCACCCCGAGAGCGATAGGGCGAAGCGAAGAGTACTACGTCGTATCAGAACCACCACAGTTTACGATGGGTGATGTTGCAAATGTCATCCGTAACGCTAAGTCATCCAAAGCGTTGGGCCCGGACGGAATCTCAATGGTAATGTTGAAGCAGCTGGATACGCCGGGAGTCGAGTACTTAACGAAAGTTCTCAATTTGTCGCTAGCCACCCACATAGTGCCCGAAACCTGGAAAATGGGCCGGGTGGTCCCGCTACTGAAGCCAGGCAAGGATGCCAGTAAAGGCGAATCGTACAGGCCGATTTCGCTTTTGTCGCCAGTAGCAAAGACTCTTGAGGCTTTACTCCTCCCCAGCATTAGAGGAAGCTATACAGTTGTTAACCACCAGCATGGATTCCGTCCACAACATAGTACCACAACAGCATTACACGCCTTTTCTACACATATTAGTAGAGGACTGAACCAGAACAGGCCGTGTGACAGAACAGTGTTGGTAGCCCTTGACCTATCAAAGGCATTTGATACGGTCAATCATGCCACACTGTTTGAGGACGTACAGAGAACTACCCTCCGGCCAAGTTTGAAACGTTGGATAATCAACTATATGTGTGGACGCCAGTCGTACGTGGAATTCCGGAACAAGAAGTCCAAAGCCCGTAGAGTGAAACAGGGAGTTCCCCAAGGCGGGGTGATATCTCCGGAACTGTTTAACCTCTACCTTTCCGGAATTCCTCGCCCTCCAGACGGCTTTGAGATCGTAACGTATGCGGATGATTGTACGATCATGGCATCGGGTCCAGTGGTCGATGACATATGCGAAAGGTTGAACCTCTATCTCGCGGAGCTTGCCGCATACTTCCACGCGAGGAATATGAAAATATCCGCCACGAAATCAACGGCCACACTCTTTACCACATGGTCTGCGGAGATGAGAACACAGCTGAATGTTCAGGTCGAGGGGAATCTAATACCGACCACGAACTACCCCAAGATTCTTGGGGTAACGTTCGACAGCATGTTCAAGTCGTCCGCGCAAGCCACAGCTATCTGCGACAAGATGAAAAGTAGGAACAAGGTCCTCAAGGCGCTAGCCGGCAGCTCTTGGGGTGCGGACAAAGAAACCTTGTTGACCTCTTATAACGCGATAGGTCGGTCTGTGGTCAACTATGCGGCTCCAGTGTGGTCTGCGAATACTAGTGCTACGCAGTGGAAGAATATCCAGACCTGCCAGAACGCTGCCCTGAGAACTGCGACAGGGTGCCTCCTCATGACACCAGTGGACCATCTACATGAGGAGGCGAAAGTCCTTCCCTTACGTCAGTATAATCATATGCTTTCGTTGCAGTACCTGCTTGGGTGTTACCGTGAAAGTCATCCCAACCATCATATGGTGGATAACTCTCCCCCACCCAGGCGTGTCAGGAAGGACATACATGATCTAGAGAGGGAGGTCCAGCGCTACAAGAGAGCCTCTAGATCAAGAAGCCTATCAGGCAGGTCTGAGTGGCATTCACACCGATGCAGTCGCGGATGCTATTAGCAGTTATAAAGTGAATGCCGTCCTCGGAGTCCACCCCCCATCCATTGCAGCCGAAGAACGTCAGCTGCCTAGACAAACCAGGGTAGTTTTGGCGCAATTACGTTCAGGATGGTGTAGTCGCCTCAATTCGTATTGGGCACGAATTGATGAAGATGTGCGTGACGCCTGCCCGGCGTGCGATACAGGCCCGCACAATACGCTACACCTTTTTAATTGCTCAGCCAAACCTACCCAACTCACTCCAGAGGATCTCTGGCTACAGCCCGTTAAAGTAGCCGAATTTCTAATCCTGGAGCTGGAACCAGATTAGCAGAACACAAACACACACATGTACTACTGCTACAACAACAACCACTAAAAATATTTTAGTGATACTGTACGGGAACACAACGATGATCGTAGTGTACCGCAGTCGGAGCGCTAAAAAAATCGCAGTATACCGCAGTCGGAACAGTAAAAAATCGTAGTGTTCCGGAGTCGGAACACTAAAAAACGTAGTGCTCCTCAATCGGAGTATTAAAAATTGTAGGGTACCACATGTACCCTTAAAAAAATCGAAATAATAAAACTGATTTTAAACACTCAGCCATACTTTGTAAAATATTTAGTTTTTTTACATCTACATTCATTGATTTTTCGGTACCACAAAATAACAGGTAAATTATTTGCATAATAATCCATTACAATGCAACCACTGAAATACCATTTTTCCCGGAAAATAAAAAATTTCAATTTTCTATGGTTAAATACAAATTATTATCACTTCAAATTTGGTCCGTTTTTATTCTTTCTACCTATTTTCATATTTTTCTATTATCTTCAATTTCGCAACCAATCTAAACATACATGACAAATAAAAAAGTCATCTTTCATTTTTATAATATTGAATTGTATTTGTAATTTTTTGCATTATTAAAACATCAAACATCACATTTTTCTCACAAACCGTAAAAAACACACATGTGGTACACTACCTGAACATTTTTTTTTTAAATTCTCGTTGTGCTCCGGTACAGTATTACAAAAATATTTTTTAAGGGTAGTGTTCCGGTACGGTACATTACCTTAGTGTACCACTCCAACTGGGAACGGTGCAGAACACAACAGTACAATACTGTTTATTTTCGAACGCTGCTTAGAAATGACAGCAGTATGAAGTTGGTAGCAGTTTTTTCATCTCACCGTGTATGTTCAAAATTTTAGCCTTCTATATCAAGTCTTTCGAAAGAATGGATTAAGTACAAAAGACTGGCGAGCATCGCCTTAGAATTTGCGTAGATCAAGAATATAATACTTTGTAAGGTATAATATGAGTATTTCCAGGAGTTATGAAGGGAATGCCAAAGTTTATAAACTCTCTTTAGTATGATTGGGGGGGTATAAAAGTAATGACAGTCCCATTGTCACATTGATTGTTGCGATACGACTACGTGACCCTAGGCATACGGCAAAGTAAATATGCATTAAAAAGCGCCGAATGCGCATTTATTTTTTGACCTGACAATATCTGCATTTACGTTTCGTTCCGCCCAAAAACCCTATATAATCTCAGAGTTCTGTCGGACCGGTACTTCCCCTCTATTATCGAGTCGACTCAAAACAGTGTACAACTATATTAATATAATTATTTCCAGTTACAAAATTGTAAACATTCTATATCACTGAACTTATTTACCTTTGCAGTTTTTCTGGAGGCGAAGAAATCTAATTGCCAAACCACTTCTGAAAGAGGCCAACATTGGAGCAATTATATTAGAAAACCCTTTTTACGGCACAAGAAAACCTGACAATCAAGTGTAATGTATACAATGAATTATTTCCTACAATTATAGATGTTAAGTATAAACAAATTTGTTAGAACAATGGGCCTGAAATATGTATGAGATTTTTTTAGTTCAACTTAATTTAATTTGTTAAGCCTAAATCTTTAAAACACTGTCGGCGACCATTTTTAAAACACTATTGAACAAATCTAACACTTAACTGTTGAAAACCATATGAAGAGAAAGTGCTATCCGATTTAATTTCTGTTTTACAGTCAGCTCTTTATTTAATAATGTTTTCGAAAATTGCTACAATTACAAGTATAAAAGAACACATGCCGATACTCATGGGAATGTGCGCCGTCAGCAAATTCCACATAATTACTCTTAACGTAGAAGATGCAGACCTGTGACAATGTAATGATCCACACGCCTAGTTCTAAAAAAAACTATTACATGATTATTGAAACTGATTAATTTGTTTTTTTTTATAAAAATATTTTTATTGTTTTTTTATATATTATAAATGTACATCTATAAATAATTTATGTAAACTTTTTTATTTTACAATCAAAGTTTTCTTTGTTTTATTAATGCTTTATTTTAATTAACATTGTATGTCATTATTTTTATTTATTTGTATTACTCAAATTATATATATGTTTAAATTATAAATATTTTTATTGAGATAAGAAAAAGAAAACAAGTATATAGACATGCAAGGCCGACCATGTGATACCCCACAACATATGTCGGTAGCCCCTTAGGTCCAAATCCATATTTTTATAAATGTCCTTTATTAGGGTATATTTAATGATATATATATACAAGTTCTGAGATTTTCCAATTTATTGCATTACAGCACACGCATTTAAATTTACCATATTATCTAAATATAATATAGTTAAGGAGAAAATAGAAATAACAACTTTTGTAGGACTTTGATTAATTCAAAAAATTTGAAAAAATAGGAATTAATCTTCTTTTAGGATAAAAGTAGTTATACATATATTTATATCCTCAGCCCAATGGCTAGAGAGGGTATATATCATTTGATACGGCCAAAACGTGCCTTGTCAAAATAACGGTTTTAGACCCTAGGTCTCTTTGGACCAAATTTGGAGTCGATCTAGCGATGTCCGTCTGTCAGGCAGGTGAGCACGACAACTCTCGAAGGGAGTATCCGATTTGTGGTACATTGTAATATTATTTTCAAACTTAGATCGTGTTCGGAGAGGGTATACATAATTTCATACGGCCAAAACGTGCCTCATCGTAATAACGGTTTTGACCCTAGGTCTCTTTGAGCCAAATCCGTTTCAGGACATTTGGAGTCGATCTAACGATGTCCGTCCGACTGGCTGGTGCGCACGATAACTCTCGAAGGGAGTATCCGATTTGATCCAAAGTTGGTACATCGTAATATTATTGTCAAACTTAGATCGAGTTCGGAGATGGGCACTATCGGTCCGCTCCTTCTGGTACCTCCCACACAAAATGTCAACATTTTCAAAGAAAAAAATTTATTGCACAGAAAGAGAAAGGATAATCCGATTTTTCTCCAACTTTGCAAATCTTAATATTTGCATCAGTGCTAGGTTAGGTGCGAAAATGGATAATATCGGTCCACTCCAACAGGTACCTCTCCCACAAAGTGTCAAAGTTTTGAATAATTACATCTCTTATAAAATGTGATGTAAGAGTCCGATTGGCTTCTAATTTCACACATCCCCATAATTTTATTAGCCCAAGGTCGAGTTCGGAGATGGACACTTTCGGTTCACTCCTTGTGGCACCTCCCACACAAAATGTCAAAATTTTCAAAGAAAATAATTTATTGCACAGAAAGAGAAAGAATAATCCGATTTTGTTCCAACTTTGCGAATCTTAATATTTGCATCAGTGCTAGGTCAGGAGTGAAAGTGGATAATATCGGTCCACTCCAACAGGTACCTCCCCCACAAAGGGTCAAAATTTTGAATAATTACAACTCTTATAAAATGTGATGTAAGTGTCCGATTGTCTTCAAAATTCACACATCACAATAATTTCGTTAACCCAATGTCTGGTGTGAAAATGGATTATATCAGTCCACTCCTTCTGGTACCGAAATACCGGTCGAAAATTTCAAAAAAAAATATATATATATATTCTCTGCACAGAAAGAGAAGCAATAATCCGATTTTGTTTCAACTTTGCAAATCCTAATATTTGCGTCAGAGTTAGGTCAGGTGCGAAATTGGACAATATAGGTCAACTCCATCAAGTACCCCCCCCACAAAGGGTTAACATTTTGAATAATTACAACTCTTATAAAATGGGATGTAAGAATCCGATTGTCTTAAAATCATCACCCCAATATTTTTATAACTCTAAGATCTGGGGTTAATATGGAATATATCGGTCCACTCCTTCTGGTATCCCCTCCAGAAATTTTGAATATCCATTGAACTCATAAAACGCGAAATTTATATCCGATTCCATTTAGGCTTGGCACATCTGAATATTTCTATCAACACAGTATCTATTACAAAAACGGTAGAGATCTTCTGGTACCTTCGCCACAAAGGCTGAAAATTTTAAATATCTTCATGTATATTTAAAATTTTCAGCCTTAAATAAAAATCGAAATTAACATCCGATTCCATTGACTTGGTATATCTCAATATTTCCATAAACACAAGATCTGTTATAAAGATGGTAAAGATCGGACAATTTTTTTTTGCTACCTATCCATAGAGTTCAAGATTATGAAAAACAAAACGATCAAAAAAAAAAAAAAAACAAACGATCAACACTCTTTAAATTTCAAAAATACGAACATTTTTTCTAATACAATTCTGTTCTGCAGATGATATATATCTGTGAACCCCTTCTGGTACCTCACTCACAAAGGGTCACAATATTCAACACTTTTATCAATATTGGCACATTCCTTCGGAACATACTCCATAGGGGGTTAAACATTTTAATAATCACAACAGAAGTTAAATATTTTTAAATAATCGTACATTGGCTGAGTGTATACTTCTGTCGGTTTTTTACTCTTTAACATGTTTATAATAATTTTTTTTATAAAACTATAGTTTGAAAAGCTTCCAGGAACTGCGTTTTTCTGACCTTACTATTTTGTTGTACTCATAAAGTGATTATGAAACCTATCCCAGAATACTGCTAGTTCTTTACGTCGAGCTCCATTGTAAAGCCTTCGGACCTCTTTTCCTAAAACCTGCTGTTCCGCCGTAGGTGGTAGTGTCGGAGAGTCGAACAGTAGATATTCTGACGCTAGGCATATGCGTCCGAGAGAGAAATGAAAGCATTATTTTTTGTGAGATATTATTCGAGTTCTCGATCGAGACCTTGTATTAGCATAGAACAGTTGGTTGTTAAAATTGTTTAGTCCAAAGACCATGTTCTTAACCGTCCAAGCTTCCTGAATTAATCTAAGGTGTATCTTACCTGTGTTCATTTTAGTTTTCTTCACCAGCTTGAGGCTGCCAATTTCCCAAAGGAATCTTCGCTTTTTCTTGATAACCAACCTCCGTCAGGGCGGCAGTATTTGTATGTGTAGTAAGCTTAAAAACATTTTGTCGTTATTAAGGCGATAATCATGATGGAAATTGGAGCATCGTCTTCCATTATGTAATCTAAAACTTTGTTGTTGACCATTTCCTCTATGTTCTTAGGTAAATTGCATGTACTTTCATTGGTATCGATCAATGTGTAGTGTATTTCGTTCATATGATGTTTTCTGGCTGTCTTTGCGTAGAATGGTGGCCCACCAGGTCAGGGATTTCTTCTCAGAAACCCCAGGTTTAGCAGTCGATTTCGCGGTCGGGCTCATCTTTGCTACAGTCTTCTTTGCGAGGTCCTTGACTGGGGTTTCCCGAAGCACTTGAAGGTGGGAATCTCTTATTCTTTTTCGGCGACATCGCAGTGTTCTGTTCCTCAAGGAACCTTATCCTCTTCCCAAGGGAGTGGGGGAATACTCGTTGCCCTTTTTAGAGCATCTTGCGACTTTGTATTTTTTCTCTTCTGTTGCTTCCTTAGTTTTCGCCGTTGAGACCCAGGCAACTTTTTCGTTTTAGTTGTGAGCTTCGTCAAGCTGTCGCTCACTTCTTCTATCGTTCTGTGCGTCTCCTCCTTTGTTGGGATTCGCAAAACGGTTGTATTGTTGCTGCTGCTGTCAGATTCGGAGTCTGAAGCGCTACATATTTTTGAGCATACACTCGGAGTTCCTCAGCTTCGTTGTCTCTCTATTTGCCCAAAGGCTGTGTGCTTGTAGCAATACCTTTAACCACAGATGCCAACTCTGTGGAAGAAATTTGCTCATGATCTATGGATAACGCCCTAGTTCGAGCAAAATTGTGTGATCATCCATCTCCCCCTATCGCCGGTGTGGACGCGCCTGGTGGGAGAACCAACAAACATCCCCATTGGTTTTACTTCATATTACTCTCTATTGCAAAAAGTTATGTTTTTCGAAACGAAACTGACAGCTTTGCAACATTTGCTGATCGCTACCAATATCATGATTTCATCCCGGAGAAGGAAATAATCACTTGGCTTTTCAGCTTTTTGATATGATTACTTTCGATCATTCGATGAGAATGGCACTAACTTCTAGCCTTTCCCAATTATTACACTTACATCATGCAAAGCTTAATAAATATTTATTAAGGTTATAATTATTGTATATGATCAAAATTTACAATAAAATGATGTAGCAGTCCACTTTTGCTAGATAATAATATTTAATTATTAAAGCATATTTGTTTTGTATTTATACAAGCTACAAAATGTGGTTTTGTAGAATCTTTAAAGTGTTAGGAATCATTGATTTATCTTTTGAGTTCTTTAATGTTACAAAAATAATTGATTTTAAAAGTACAAATTAACTATCACTAAAAATTAAATTGCTTATTCATCAGAACATTAATAACGAACTAAGTAATGAAGTCTGCTACTTGAAGAATGTGGGTCAGCATTTGTTTATAATGAAAATATTACCATCACTGCATTGACTTATCAAG